TCTAGACCCTAAGTCCTCTATGGGAGAGTCTATGGGAAGAGCTGTAATCTCAGTGCCTAGCACAGCGCTCACCAATAATTGTTGACTGGATTCTACTCACAAAGGAACAAATGGAACTCTGCTTTCTTTTACTTCTGTTGCTTTTTCCTTAATTTGAGAATAACAGGTCTTTCCAACTTAATTCATGATTTAGAAATATCTTAACTGGCTCCCCGTTTCTAGGGCTAAATTCCTCACCCCAGTTATATATTTCCTCACTATCATTATTGTTAACGTTGTAGCCAGAATGTCTCTTTTTCTATCATAAAAGTCAAGAATATGCTCTTAATCGTGGCTCCTCCCTGCTTACATCACTTTATTGACAGGAGAGCTATCCTTATATATATATGAAGGCTAGGGTTAAAACCACTAAAATACTCTGAAAACGTCCTAGGAGCTGGGAAGATGGCTCACAAGCATGCAGACTTGAACTCAAATCCCCATAGGCTGTTTAAAAGTCAGTGCCGGTAGCACACATCAGTAGTCTCAGCAGCAAGGTGGGGGGGTGGAGACAGGAGATTCCCCATCAGCTTAGGTCATCTGGACACATGCAGCAGCAAGCAACAAATGGACCCTGTCTCGGACAAGGTGGAGTGTGTGTTCAGACACTCCAGGTTATTAGCCTCTGTTCTCCATGTGCGTGGCACGCTCCCTTCCGTACATGCTCTTTCTGCTGCCTTGAACTGACTTTGTTTCTGTGAGCTCCCATGAGTTCTGTGTATATGTCCCATCCTAGCCTTCATTACCTGGTAACTGCTCTGGGTTCCCTGACAGCCCCCAAGTTCTCTTAGGTCAGCAAGCACGCCTGCTCACTGCACGCACTGAATTCTGGTGCTTCCTCCAGCAAATATTTGCTGAGTGAGTGAAGTGAGGCCTCCCATGCTGGTAGAATGATCAAACTATGTGTGTGGAAAAATCTTATTCCAAAATAAACATCACAGGAACATACCTAATCTGTGTCTATTCGAGGCATATTGTCTTCTTGCTCCTGTTTGTCGTGTTTGTGAAAGTGGAGGAAATGGTTCTGTGTTCCTTTGGTAGCAGGTTCATTCTAGGACAGGATTTGGAGCTGGTACACACTGTCAATTCCAGGAAGTCTTGCAGGTGATATTGTTGCAAAACAAAGAACTGCTGTTTACTGGCCTCATCAGGCAGCGAAGGCCCTTTTTATTTCAGTCATGTAAGAGAGATGGGTTTTTAATCAGTGCCTTTGAAGTTAAAATTAAATTTGTTTTCATTATTTTAGTATATCCTAAGTTTAAAGTCTAGATTCTATTCTCATATTAATAAGGAACAAACACAAAATATTTCATGTTTCCAATGTAGTTATTTACAGGATATTATCTATAAGTTTCAAATTGTGTGTTTTGAGCTATTAATTTCTACACATGTTAGTTGACTTACCAAAGTCTCTTCATGATAACATTTTGTCCCATATGTATAGATTCTGGAAAAGCTTTCTGTACGCATCTGAGGATCCGTGGGCATCATTCTTTTGATTGCATGGACGCTTAAGAATTTGTTTACAAGTAGGAATGGTTTTAGTCATATATCAGATTACTGTATACCGTACTTTGTTTCTTCTGTGATAAAACACTGACCAAAGCCAACGTGGAGGAGGAAAGGGTTTATTTCAGTTTATACTTTAGAGTCTATCATTGATGTAAGTCAAAGCAGGAACTCAAAGCAGGCACTTGAAGGCAGGAACTGAAGCAGAGACCATGGAGGAACTCTGCTTATTGGCTTGCTTCCCTGGCTTGCCCAACTTCTTCTGTTCCATGGCCCACCCAGGCTCATCTACCTAGGGATGGTACTGCCCTCCTACATCAATTAGCAACCCTTCAAAAATGCCCTACACATTTGTCTGTGTGATGGAGGCGATTTCTCATTTGAGGTTCCGTCTTCACATGGACATCTGAGTTTGTGTCAAAGTGACAAAACTGTGACGTGATAACACTATATATTCAGTGTGAGACGAAAAAAGTTTAGGAAACAGGAAAAGGAAGTTAAATGTCCTGTAATCCTATTTGCAGGTTGTTGTGTTGAGCGTCTTAGATTGTTCATTTCTATGATGTTTCTAAATATATTGTGTTCATTTGGTTTTTGTTTTTAAGTGAAAATAATGTCATTTGTGCTGGTGGCTTTGGAATGTGTGTTTCACTTAACAAGTTTGAGGCATTTCAAGGACAGAAGTGAGTGATACTCTTTTTAGAAAATTTTGCCTTTCAGGGTTTGAATACTATAATTCTGCCTTTATCACTCTCTTTAAGAGAACATCTATGCCAGATGTGGTGGCATATGTGGTCTGTAATTACAGCACCTGAGAGGCAGGTAGATTTGTGAGTTCCAGGCCAGCCGGGGCTATATAATGAGACATTGCCTTCCCCCTAAAAACGAATAAAAAATGGAAAACTTCTGTAAAAATCTGTGCAGGCTTCATTTGCAGGGCATGAAAACATGCTACCTACCTGAGGAATAAAAAAAAAAAAATGTGATTTTTATTTAATGGGTGTTACAAGACAATTAGAATGTTCAGGAAGGTAAGTCTAGGCTGGACCTCCAGAAATAACCCTGAACTGATGCACCATGCTCTTCCCTATAGTCACAGAGAGAGGCAGCCACTGACTCACAGACACACCGTCCTTGCTGATATGCAGGGACACTTCTGCCTCGGGAGCCACCCTGCCCCAAAGTAGATGCCTGTCATCCTCTTTCTTCTCCACCCTCACGGTTCTGTGGTCTGTGTATGAGAAGCTGAAAGAAAAGCAAACACAGCTCCATAACCGTGTTCCCCATCAGAACCACAGGGGTTTAGTCTGTCCATTTCTGTCTTCAGAACTTCAAGTAGTGCAATTTATTGCCAGAATTTAAATCCCATCTGGAACCTTTGCTCTAGGGCATCTAGAAAATGTCAGCTTGAGTTGTCTAACCTCTGACATATAGTGTAACCCGCATCCAGCCACCAGGAGTCTGGAGTGGACACTGATGACCACTGTGTTCATCACGCATCCATCCAGGCTCTGGATGTTGGGTTGGTGTGTTCCTTGTATGCATCCATACATGAAAAAGAATTTGAAAGCAAGATAAAGAGGAACATCTGATTAGGAGGGAAAAAATACGCTTTTCTTTTCTTTATATATTCTGCTCAGATCATGGCATCTAGATTCCTCTGTCTCTGTCTCTCTGTCTGTCTATGTGTCTACCTGTCTTCCCCTCTCTCTTTTTTTCCCTCAGTGGGTCCTGTAGATCAATCCCTGGGCCCTATGTAGGCCAAGCAGGCAGTCTCCCACCAAGCTGTATCCCAGTAGTCTTTATTTTCTGTTTCAAGACAGTGTCTCACTGACTCATCCAGACTGGTCTTGAACTCCTGCTGTAGCCCAAGGCTGCAAAACAGTTCTTCCTTGTATGACTCTCATTACATTCCCATTTAATCATAGTTGTTCAACTCTGCGTCTCCAGTTATCCATCCACCTGTTTCTGTCTGTCTCTGCTGCTTCCTGCTGGTCCATGCCATTGCTTTTCTCTTCTGAACTGCTGCTTCAGGTCCTAAGTACGGGCATCGGCCCCCTCGTTGCCATTCTAGAGTCACACAGTTAGATCAGGCCATTTCTCTGCTCAGAGCACATCAGTGAGTTTCCACTACACTTTGGTTCAAAGGCAAAAACTTGACCACAACCCAATGCTGGAAAGGATCTTTCCAGCATTCCACCTACCGCTGTTTCCTCCTCTGCATTCTTATCTCCCCCTCCCGCCACGTTCTCCAGCCTCCTTGATGATCTTAGGAACAGCTGGCCCTCAGGGTCTTAGTGGTCGCTGATGCTTCTACTTGGAATGCCCAGAAAACCACAAGGCCCTAACCTCTTTCTCCAGATTAGCCTTGCCCATAGCCTGCTCAGGGAGGCCTGCCCTGGTCACTCTGTGTAAAGTGGCAACATGAGTCCCCTCAGGCCCTTTAGACCCCCATCTCTGCATCATTTCTCATAACACCTTGTACTGTGTAATGAGCTCTGTAACTTTGTTATTGTATATCTTCCTCCATGAGAAAGTTGACTTTTATTTAACTCTTGGATCTTCAGTCCATTGTACAATATCTAGGTACAGAGTAGTCATTCATTAAGTGTTTGTTACATGAATACATTTGTCTATGAATACTTTATGGTATACTCCTTGTGAGGATGAAAAGTATGCACAAATAGCCAAAAAGGTTTTAACAGTGTTTTTCCTCCAATAGTCCATAAACATGCCATTGTCCCATAAGTCTCCAGGGCACCACGAAATTGCACTTGCTCCTCCAGTCCTCTAGTTCAGCATGTTGCCACTCTGAGTATCTCACTGACTCTTCTCCCAGTGCTCTCGTTACCATGTTCTCTCTCTAACGTCTGAAGACTCTAAATGTTGGAGAGGCCTTCCATCACCATGGGTCCAAGTTAACTAACCCCCAGCCTCATAATCCACCACCCTGTTTTATTTTCATGATGGCACAAGTCACTTCAAATGCTTCCTTGTTTTTATATTTATCTGTCTGTGTTTGATTTTCCCCCAAAACTATGAGCATCATTTCAATAAAGAGACTCACCCATCTTTTCTAACATTATTTTTTAGTAAATATGTTTGATAATGGAATAAACACTAGCTATCTTTTTTCACTATTATGAATTTGCTTAGTGAAATAGATGTAATGTAGTTATTTTTTTTTTTTCTGAGCATCTTTGTAAGTACAAACTTTTTTTTTTTTTTTTTTTTTTTGAGTAGCAAACATGCCAAGTTGATCTGGAAACTTACGTACTTGGCTTGGAGGCAGGTTTGAGGCAGGTGATACTGGATCTGCACATTGGTTTGCTGACATGCTGTCTGACGTCTTAACTTCTGAAGCCTTCCTTCTCCTTTTTGCCTATGTCAGTATCCAAAAACCACAACTCCTTGGTAATGCTTGCTTTTATTTTATTTTTTTGTCTCTACAGCTCTTGGAAAGAACCAAGATTGGTTTTGAAGAGTCAGGTCGCGGTGCTCCCAAGAGCCCGCTCCACTTAGCGGTAAGTGAGCTGCTGTGGGCAGCTTCGCCTGTTCGTCTCCCAGAGAACAAGTTCCAAAACCTTAAGCAGATCTGAAAAAACAGCCCCGAGAGGCAGCAATCAGTGCTAATGAAAAGAGCAGAGGGTTGAAGACATCGGCCTCCAAGGGAGACTCCTCACCTTGAAGGTCTGGCTTCCCAGCCTGTGACCTTAGATACAGTTACCTATCTTGTCCTCAGTATCCTCATCTGTAGAATGGGAGCAAATAAAAAGATGAGACCTACATAAAGTAATAAATGATCTTGTTAAGCTTTGCTCATTTTTTTATATAAAAGAAACATCTCAGCTGAAAGGATTTTATTATAGAGAGTAATATGCAAACATTAACCCTAGGAATAATCAAATATCACATTTTTCAACTGTCACAATTAAAACCTGTATGTATTTTAAACACAACTATATGAGAATAAAAGGAACAGGTTTAGAAGAGCAGCTGGTCATTCTTCCTGAATTTGCCATTGGGCCTCAGAGGAAGTTTCTGGCTCTAGTTCTCATGCTGGAGAGATCTGGAGGGACGGCTCTAGTTCTTACTAGCAAAGCATCCTCTTCACCTCCTAGCGATTAAAGGAGAGAGCTTTGACTCCTTGACTCCTGGGGGTGCTCCACTCCCACATCTTGGCCTCAGATGGTGTCTGGTTGACCGTTAGTGATGAGCAGCCGGTTGAAAGAGTTCTGCTGTCTGGCAGCCACGGCCAGCTCGCCTGCTCACCGCGCTGCTAGGCTGAACACTCAGTCACGGTCTGGGGGTTGATAGAGGTGGTGTTAGGTGTTTTGTTTAGTAAGTGCAATGGAGCAGGAGCCAAGGAGAATGGAGGCGCTGGGTCTACACTGACCTGGTAAATTTTACCCAATGAAGCACAAACACTTCTTCAGATGAGCCTTTAGACAGGGGAATGTTTTATTACTAGACACGTAGGCATTCCTGCAAGCTAAGAGAGAACAAAATCTATGACGCAAGGATTGGCAATGTCCAGGGCCAGTCACTCTGTGAGGAGCCCACCCTCCACTACTTGTCTCTTCACATATTTCCACGCACCTGCAGAAGCCCACTCAGAGCCTGTGACACACCCCAGCACATCCACTGCTCACATAACATATGACAGCCACGGCACACATGAACATACTTCATCATCTACTGTGCGCACACATTGGAATGCTGTGAAACCACCCCTCCGTCTTTGTTCAGGAAGGTGGACCTAGATGGAGAAGGAGGGTGGACATCGGATGTTACTGTGGACAAAGCCTCGCAGCAGCTGCTCTTTAGAACCGCTGTGCAGCTGTCGGCTGTGCGTGAGCAAGGCTCCCCGGAGCTGGGTGTGCACAAATGTAGCGAGCTCTAGCTGCCCTTAGTAAGGCCACGTGGGGGTATTTTGAGGAGAATCCTGGGGCCCAGTCAGCATGGGGCTGATTGTGTTGTTACTGAGAAGAGAGTTTCTAGGCTTTCAAAATTGTTATTATCTCTCTCTCTCTCTCTTTTTTTTTTTTTTTTTTCAAAAAAATTCATTTGCTTTGTGCTTACGGTGGCCTAGTGCACTCCTGAGATCTCTGGGTCTCCACTCACATAGAAAAGGGTGGTGACGCTGTGGCAAAGAATGGACTCTGGTAGTGCTGCCGCTGGCAGGGCCCAGACACGAGAAGGAGGGGTGGCCCTTGCCTACTCTTCTTATCATCTGAACATGGGTTTCTTTTCCACTGAAAATTGAAAGGATCAAATTAGTTAAGGCTCTAAGATTGAGATTGCCAGCTTGTTTGTTAGCTGTGTGATGTTGTCCAAGTGCCTGATGCTTGTGCCTCAGTTTCCCCATCCATCAGATGGAAGCAGTGCCTCATCAAGGGCCACTATGGGAATGGCATGAGCTAATCCGGGTAAAGCAATTAGAAGAGCACATGAGGACATGTGTGTCAGCAGCCAGCTTCCCCCTTCGTCTCCTCCATGTGACAAGCGCTGGCTGAGAATACTGCCAAGCACTGGCCCAGGAGATGTTACAGGGAAGGGACGCAGCCTCTGTCCTTGCAGGGTCTCCCATGCTGGAGAGACCTGAGGCAAGCGAAAGCATGGCAGGTAAGAATAGGTGCTACGAGAGAAAATGAAGTAGAACTCATGTGACGGAGTATTGAGGTGACAGACAGAGCCGTTTGACAGAGACAGAAGGTCACACATTCACAGTGGCCCCGAGAACTAGTCACATTGCTGTCTGACAGAAGGTTGTGGGCACAAGTGTAAAGTCTTGGGTAAGAGAATGTTCGGCATGTCCCCTGAGCAGCCATGTAGCTGCCACAGAGGGACAGTGGGGGATCAAGGAGCGGGGGAGGGGGGAAGAACTGCCACAACATCTCACGGGGCCTCCTGGTCCGTGGTCAGAACCCTGACTTTTACTCTGAGCAAATAGAGCCCGCTTGTTCAGATCTGAGGAGACAAGGAGGTGGTCTGCCTCATCTCAGAGAGCACAGACTCCAGCAGAAGCCAAAGCCAGAGATGGGTGACTCCGACCACAATGAGGCATCTGTTCGAGAATTACTTCATCTTTCCCTCCACATCAGCGCTTCTCAACCTGTGGGTCTCGACATTTTGGGGGGTCCCATATCAGATGTCCTCTGAGAACCACACGCTGTTCTACACACTAAAGCTTTAAAATATTTTTTTCAAGACACCTATAAATAACGCTCATGACCCTCTTCAGGGTTTTCTGGAGCAATTACTGCGATAAAAACCCTAGGCGTGTTGTTCTTAGGTGAAAGCATTCTAGCAAGGAAATGGAACCAGATGCCCACAAACCTTGACCCATAAAAGAGACCTGCCCTGCCTTGAGCTACTATTTACTGCCTGAGTGATTTGAGTCTCCAGGGTTATCAGCTCAGAGAATTTCATATTCACTTCATCCACTTGAAAAAATTAAATTAAGAAATGAGGTTATGCAAATGGGAGGCTCCAGCTGTTGAGGTTTCTAGATGGACTTGCGGTGTCCCTGAACTGTGTCAGGCTCCCAAATTCCTTCTTCTTGTTTGCCCATAGTTTCCATATGAAAAGGCTTAGCCGGATTAATCATGATGAGTGCATTTAAGTTGCCTAATGAGACATTTCTTGAAATAATTTAAAGTAATAACTTAAAGACTTTTAAAGTTTGATGCTCCCAATGACATCTTAGCATAGTGGAATTCACCCCTAACCAAGAATCTATTCGCAACGGCTGCCTGCTGGCAAAGGGACAATCTGTCCCTCCAGTGGAGTCTCCCTGGGACAGGCCCCATGCCCAGGACTAGATGGCCAGTGCAAAGGGAACACCAAGGGGATTTTATTGTTGTCATTGCTTTGTTTGCTGGGCTTTATGCTTTGGCTTTTTTTTTTTTTTTTTTGTCTTATTGGATTTTTGTTTGTTTTTATTTTTATTTTTGAGGGAAAACAAAATGAAGTTGGGTGGGTAAGGAGGTGGGGAGAATCTGGGAGGAGTTTAGGGGAGTAGAAAAAATGCTCAAAATATATTGCATGAAAAGAATTGGAGGGGGGGGGGAAGGAGCTATAAGCAAATAGAAGAAACAGGAAAATTCTTCCTGTAGGTAAATCTGGCATTTGAATCATTCTGAGCATTTGCCCAGTACATAAAATCATCCAGGCTAGAACTGAAAAGCTGTACTAATTAGCAAGGATTCGTCCATTGTATTTTATACTAAGCCGCTTTAACTTGAAAACAGCAAATGGACTTTTTTTTAATTGTGAGGATTAGAGAGGAGAGTGCAGGGGGTAAGTGCCTTCATCACAGCTGTTCTAGAAATGCTTGCTGCCTCCTGCCTGGTGTCTCCCCTTTCCCCTGTGTGTCCTCTCCTAATTAAACCTACGCTGGCCATTGTTCTTGCGTATTTACAGTCACGGTATATCTTCCTAGGCTAAGTTAAGGGAACAGAAATTAAAATGTGGACTATTCTTTTCACAATGGAGAAGGGGCCAGCATTTGAAAATAGTATCTAGGACCTGCTGCTACCTGCTGGGCACACTTTCCTTCAGCATGGAGTCATGAGTGGAACCGGTAGCTACCGTTTACCAGTACACTGAAAAGAGGGAGGCCACCGTTTGAAAAGTCAGTTCTCAAGTGACCACCAGATTCACATAGGAAATCAAATCTAAGAGTCTACTTTGCACTCCTTTGTGGATGTTCCTGTTACTACAGGTCTTAGCTTAAGGTTAGATGCTCCTGCGTTGGCTTAAAAATCACCTATGGCCTGAGTTGGTCATGGCTAAACCTAGTACAGGACACACGGAATACATTTGACTGTGTTCTCTTCTTTGCTGATATTTTAGATCCTATAAGAGGCCAAGTCATGCATCTTGCTGCCGTATCACATTCCCATATTCTCTCTCCAAAGGGCCCCTGGGCTGGCCTGCCTTACCTGAGCCCTAGTTCTTCCACCCAAGGCCGCATACCCGTAGCATAACTAGGTACCTCTGCCTTTCTGGGTTCTCATCAATAAGAGGAAGATGGTAAGAGCCTCTAAGCTGCAGACCAGTGTGAACTCACAGCCAGCAGCCAGCCAGGGATTACTTCAGAATCTGTACTGTGCTGTACTTAGGTTACAGTGCGGACTTCCTGTCCTGCACAGTTAAAGCTCGTGAGACGCAGAAATTGTTCTCCTGTCCCTGGAGAGGCAGTGGTGTAGAGTAAAGGCAGGGTGGCCTAGGAATATGTCCCCGGAGCGTACCTTCTTGTTCTATCACTATGTTCAGAGCACTTCCCATTTACACGGCTCTTTCTACAGAAGGAATTTAGGTTTTCATTCAGCATTTGTTGTTTAGCCCTATTCCATTGCAGCCAAACCCAACAGTGTTTAGCCTTCAAGTCAATCAGGTGGAGTTCCTGAGAGAAAGTGTGACTTATTAGACCACACACAGATTCGGAGCTCGGATCCCGACTCTGTAACTACCTAAGGATGTGTCGACCTGTGACAAAAGATGTTTACAGTAGGTGTGGTGACACACCTACAATCCACACACAGGAGGCTGGGGCAGGGAGACCAAGGATTCGAAGCCAGCCTAGGCTGCGTAGCAAGATCCTGTCCAGAAAACTAAAGGATATTCATAGATCAGAAACCAGATGTGGAGGTGCCTGGCATGGTGCCCAGCACAGAGAGGGTCGTTGGTGAATAGTTGCCCTTATCAAAAGCAAATCAACAAATGCATGATTGGTATTTGGTGGCAGTAATACTCTGAAGACAAAGGAGTAAGTGGCTGAAGAGAGGAGGGAACTTTTACATACGTGCTGGGAGGCTTCCCTCATAAGGGACCAGGATAGTCATGGGGCTGTCAGGATAAAGCACTCAGCAGAGGAGGGTCAGAAAGCACAGGTGAACCAGCCAGTGAAGGAAACTCACTCAGCTAACTATAGAGGGCAATGTGGCCACCCCAGAGCCCAGCCATGCTAAGGATGCTTGCAGCGGAGGGCCAGAACGGAGGGCCTGAGTGATCTTGCCAGGTTTTGGATTTTGCTGCCATCCAGGGAAGAAGCTTCAGGCTAAGCTTAAAGCAGGGACTGGCAAGGCATCCAGCTTGACCGTAGAGAGGTTTTACCCAGTGACAGTGTCCATGACAGGTCGCGGAGGGGCAGGGACAGAGGGGATACTTTTTCTGGAATTAGCAGTGCAGGGAGAGTGTGCATTGGTAGTCTTAGATGTGTCTCTAACACACCGAAGAGGTGGCGAGGGTCTCATGAGTGGCGTGGAGGGCTGCTGTCGATCACACAAGTCTGTGGACTTGAACAGATGTGAGGCATTCACCGGTGATTCCTGAGAACGCAGAGACAGGCTGTGTGAGTTAGCGAAGACACATGTTCCCCTGGGCAGACATGACAAGAACAGGGCAAGGCACGGAGGGCGCGCTTTGTCAGAGACCACTCGCACTACTGTGCCAGGTGCTTGTTCAAGGCTGCCAGCGTGGACTTAAGAGTTAGAGAAATGCAGACGGCATAAGGGTCACGGTCAGAGACTAAAGCTGCCACGTGCAGAAGGGAAGGCTGCAGGCAGAGCGGGTATGTGCGGTGCATTTGGATGTTAAAGAGCAGATACCAAGGTTGGAGGTGTGGACCTGTAGGCATAGGAGTAAACGGAGAAGTTGAGACAGGGCTATAAATAGGGATTCATTACCATATGATTTATATTGCATGATACATAGAGCATAACACTTAATATGTATACATTATCCTAATATTATCATTAACAAAGATTCATTGATATGAAAAAAAATTCATTTTAGCTTCTCAGTTCTCTTAATTCTTATGGATTCTTCTAAACTTAGTTTTTTTGTTATTGTTGTTAACTTATAATCGGGGCAAAAATTATTTAAATTATGTTTGGAAGGTAAAATAAGAACATGTGCTTAGTACCCCATAGCTATAGCAATAATCACTATTATTGTGTGTAGGGGATTTTTTGGCACCCTTCTGAATTTTTCCTGTTACATATACATATACGTATACATAGAAATATGCATGCATACATTTTCTTTTTATATAAAGGAGGCCATGCTAAATATATTGCTTGCAACTTAGTTTCTAAAAAGATCCTTTTTGGATTCTTTCATATTACCATGCACAAACACCATAACAACCTATACACCCACCAGAGTGTCCAAAATCACTTTTTTTCCCACAGTTTTAATGGTATCGGGCATGGCAAAACTCTTCATTAATTGCCCAGATAGTTATAAAAGAGCACTATAAAATTTTTACAGAATTTTGTATGTCTGTTGGCATTTTGCATTTCTCCTTTTCCTCTGTCTTTTCAAGTCTTTTGCATACTTTGCTAGTTTTCAAAAGATCTTTTTACATCAGGAAAATAATTTTTTGTGATAAGTCTTTTGTAAATACACGGCTTGAGGAACAGGATTGTGGAAAATTCAAGTGACAAAGAGGAGTGTTAGTGGTCTGAAGACACCTGGGGCAGACCTTTCCTCTTTCTTTCTTGTCTCTCTGACCTGCTTCCCCCTAGACAGTCTTAGCCCTTTCTCTATTTTATTCCCAAGTTCTTTTGCTTGTGTATTGTGGGGGTGGGAGTAATATTTTCCCCTTACAGACTAAATTAAAAGTCTCAGACTTTCCATCTTGTTTTTAATACTACACAGCTAGGACCTCATAATAGATCTGAACTTGGCCCAGACCCAGGCCCTGTATTTCCCTAATTGTTTCTGTGGCTTCGTTCTGACCAACGGAAGAAATAAGGAAGAGGGGAAGGCATCCACTGCACACAAGGTCTTGTGCAAAGCCGGGGCAATTATCTCTCTTCATGTTTGTGGCAGCCCCAGGAGGCAGCTTTTACTGCTTTCTTTTTATAGATGAGGAAAACCTAAGTACAATTAAGACACTCACCTACATTCCTGTGGTTAGTGATCAGTTGTGCGATGGGCTGTGAGGGAAGGTTTGCCTGCCTGGATTGAATTACAGAGCCCTGACTGCTTCCAGTAATCTTGTTCCCTAGCTTTATTAACAGAAAAGCCTCATGAAAATGTTCCCGTATTGTCCGTTGATTTGTTGAGGACTCTAGAGAGATGAGTGTATGATTCACACAGCCATTTGTCTGTATTAGACAGGTAGAGGGGTAGCTCTAATAAACTCACACTGGTGGATGTGGTGAGCATATAAGTTGGCAAAGGAGAAAACAAAAATGGTGTTCACAAGCAACCAGAGGTTCATGCACTAGCGTTTCCACCTAACTTCAGTTTGCCAGCTTCAGATCCTGTCCCAAGAAGTGTTCTGGTGGGTTCTTTGGAGGAGCCTGAGACTCGGGAGCTCACCCCTCAGGTGGATTGTTGTGGGGTTTGAGGAAAATGAGGGTGTACAATTTGTGAGTTTCTTCTTTGCAGGCCTACAACGGGCACCACCAAGCCTTGGAGGTCCTTCTGCAGTCGCTGGTGGACCTGGACATCAGGGACGAGAAAGGCCGGACGGCTCTGTACCTAGCTGCTTTCAAGGGGCACACAGAGTGTGTGGAAGCGCTTGTTAACCAGGGCGCATCCATCTTTGTAAAAGACAGAGTCACCAAAAGAACTCCACTTCACGCCTCAGGTAGGTCCTGTCAAAGGTCTTGTCTATTCCCCAGTTTTGCAACTCAGGCAGAGGCCTGTTGCGGGATTTGAGGTGTGAGGTGGCTTAGCAGGTAAAGGGGCCTGCCATCATGCCTGATGACCCCCATTCAGTCCCTGGGACCCACGTGGCCAGAGGAAAATAGTGACTTCTGCAACTTGTCTGTCATCCAAATGCATATGGCACATGCTACCTTAATAAGCAAACAAATAAATAAAATATTTTAAAAAGTTTTAAAAGCTTTAGTTGGGGCTGTAGCTCCAAGAGGGCCTACATTCAACCCCCCCAACACACACACCAAGAAGGGACAATGGCGTCTTCCTTCATCCCAACTTTCAACACCTTAGTTTTATTTCTAAACCATGTACACCCGAAAGCTTCCAAAAATGGTTTTGATGTGATTTTTTTTTTTCCATAGACATAAGCCACTGGCCTTCCCAAAGAAAGAGCTTAGAGCCTTTGGCTTAATGCCACCACAAAACTTCTGAGTGAGGGGCAAGTTACAGAGTGATCTCCAGAGCCAGTTAGACAGAACAAGCCACATCAAAATCACAGAGCAGGTTAAAGCCGGGCTTTGATGGTGTTATAGGGCTGTTTCTAGAGGAGCGAGCGGACAGTGAGGTAATAAACACGTCCTTCCGTAGCACTTTACTTGACTTTTACTCCAACCCTTGATGCATCTGACATCAAAGCAGAAACCCTTAACAGGTGCTTGTGTACATCAGTCAGCAGGCAATGTGGCTCTCCAACACACATGAAGGGACACTTCAGATGACACATACGTGAATGCAGTTTCGAAGAATCTCTGACCCAACTAAAGCATAAGTATCTTTTGACTCAGGCAATCACAACCCCCTGCCCCTCTCTTCCCAGTCCCATCCTCACACATCTCCTCACTCCCCTGTCCCCTTATTCTCAAAGAAGGGGAGTCTGCCAATGGGTGCTGGCCCACCTTGGTATATCAAGTGACAGCAGGACTAGGCACATGGTCCCCCACTGAGGCCGGACAAGGCAGCCCAGCTAGGGAAAGGGATCCAAAGGCAGGTGTCAGAATCAGAGACAGCCCCAGCTCTGACTGTTAGGGGACCCTCATGGAGAACTGGCTGCACATCTGCTACCTATGTGTAGGTGGCCTAGGCCAAGCCCCTTTGGTTGCTGGTTCAGTCTCTGTGAGCCCCCATGGGCCCAGGTTAGTTTACTCTGTAGGTCTTCTTGTGGAGTCCTCGACCCCTCTGGTTCCCTCAATCCTTTTCCCCCATTCTTCCATAAGAATCTCTGAGCTCTGCCTAGTGTCTGGCTATGGGTTTCTCCATCTGTTTCTGTCAGCTGCTGGGAGGAGCCTCTCAGAAGACGGGCTTACAGTGACTGTAGGCATAGCAGAGGATCATTAATAGTGACGGGGAGGGCTCTCTTCTGTGGGGTGAGCCTCAAGCTGTATAGAGAGGCAAAAGTAAATGTGGTCTCATTGAGGAAGTGAAGGAATGAGGTCACTTTTCCAAGAGATTTGTATGATTCTCATTACTTGAAAGGTTTCTAGGAATGCTAGACAGGGGGGCATACGTCGGTTGGAGCTGGTGAGAGCTCAGTGGGTAAAGGTTCTTACCGCCGAACCTAGGGGCCTGAATCTGATCACTGGGACCCACATGGCAGCAGGGAAAACCAACCCTTGGATTGTCCTCAGAGCTCTACAGGCACACGGTGATAAACGCACAACAAAAGAAATGCAAACGTAATTAATGCTTTTATGAAAAGAAGTACATTTGTATCTATATCCCTTAACCAAGCCACTGAACACACACAGGACAGACACAGAGAACGCCCACCTGTTTCCTAACTATCCAGAAAGAGCTGCTACTGGGAAGAGGCCACTGATGGCTGGTGTGGGCAATTTTTGTTACAATTTTTTGTTTCCCACCCGTATTTTTGCTTCCTGAGCATTCCTTGCTGGTATTGCCAAAATCAAATTTGCTCATTTTAAAGACTGGTTGACTGTTATTAAGCCAGGCAACCTACTCTGTGACTATGTAATTCCTAACAACTGGCTTAACTGTGGAAGACTGCCCTTAAAATAAGTAAATAAGAAGGACCATCCTCGCCCACCTGCCACTGGGATGTAGGCGTGGTCCAAGGATGCCCCCTAGTGGTCAACTAGACCCACTCTGGGTTTCCCTCATGCCATTCATTAAAAAGACAGGCTTTGACAGTTCTCCACAAAATGCCTGCTGTGCAGAAGCTTCAGCCTCTGATTCCAGGATCTACTTAGCCGGAATTCTTTTCAATTTACTTGAGAGGCTGGTTCCTTTGTTTGAGACCCTCGAAATACTGTGCGGAGGGGCAGCCAGAATGAACACTGGAGGCTTCAGCACAGACAGATACAGTGACGGTTGTGGTCTTTGAGCGTTGTGAAGAATGGCTGCACTCATAGCTGGGAGAGGCTGAGGCAGCCTCACAGAGAGCTGGGGCTGGCAGGGCACAGCTGAAAGCACTAATGTCTTTTGCTAGAAGGCAATTTGGGGGGATACCATGGAACCCAAGGAGAACGGAGATTGCTACTCTAAGGGGAACTGAGATGGGTTTTTCTTGTGTTTAGCCAAAAGTGAAGTATCCTTGGAATGATCAAAGCATTAAAGAATAGTAAATTGATATGGAAAGGAAAGCCAAGTTCTGTTGATCCCACTCCCTGAACCCATTGCTGAGGGGATTTAGCTGTCTGTCCTATGCCAGTATTTTCTCTTTAGGCACATGTTAAACTTCCTGCAAATTTCAACAAAGTAACAGACTTTTGTATAGTTCTTAAGGCTAACAACAGCAGCAATAAGATGTTGCCTGGAACTCCAATCCATAATATTCTCTGCCAACACATATATTGAATGTATTGATGCTATCTATGGCTAATGTGTGGACATTGTTCCTGTAGTTTGTTTGAATGCTGTCAGTGAGTCTGAGCTAATTCTAATGTGTTCCAGAACACTGTGGAAATCAAATTACCATTCTTTCATGACAATAGTCATGAAAATAGTGAAAATTACTGTGAAACAGCTGAGAGGAGCCTCTGTCCACCCAGTATGGCTGTGTCCACTCCCTTTCCTCTTGCCACATCCAGAGCGAGGGAGGTTCAGTGTCCTGTACGGCATGCTTATGTCGAGAGAGTAAGCCATGTCTGGAATATTAAGGATATTCATCTTACTCCCCGAGTGAAATCCTTAATAGCTGTAAGGCTCTTCAAAGGTTCTCTTCAATAAGAGGAAACGCCTCGTTCTAGAGGGGGATTTGTCATCCCGTGAGGTCTGCTTCCCAGGGCCCCTCACACTCATTTAGGCACCACCATGTTCTAAAGGAGCATGTTTACTTACACACGAGCGTACATCCTGGTGCCCCTTCCCAGCTGTGTGGGGTGGACCTGGCATTGGGGTAGCACTACATTTCCTGCCCACTGATGAGTAGCTGGGGCAGGTAAGGGCCAGTAGCCCTAACTAGGGGCCTGAGAATCCCTGGGTCCTCACCCAGCAGGGAGAGAAGGATGGCAGCCGCACCTGCTGTAGCATTCTTAACACTCCGAAGGAGCAAGGCTGCGGTTTGAGGATCGCCAGCTCTGCCAGCTCCGCGGAGCTCCAGTATCAGAGAGGAGGGAACAAGAGGGCTGTGCTTCCTGCTCTGCTTGGGCCTCAGCCCCCGTTAATCGATGACAACTGTTGCTGGAATATCAAATTTAGAATTCACTTATCCAGAAGAGCAGGGATTGTTCTGTTCTTCCTCCCCCTCCACCTCTCACCCTCTCTCCTTCCTTCCTCCTATCCCCACTCCCTTCTCCCTTTTCAAGAGGGCTGTAGACAGGCTAGACATAGGGTAGTTATATGGAATGGAGTGCCTCTCAGTGGGACTGATGTGTGTGGACACTTACCAACCCTCTACAAGGAGATAAGAAAGGATGTGAAGCTTAAGAAAGCTCCCTTTAACTCTGGGAACAGAAAAAGGTAAAGATTGAAGCGTGCAGACAAAAAGAAACCGGGGAGACAGGGAATCCTGCTGCAGGCCGCCTGGACCATCAGGACCATGCGCTGGCAGCGGCGGGAATTTCGCTTCGGAGAGATGCTGGTTTGTTAAAAGAATGCCCGACACTTTCTCTTTCAGTCATTAACGGTCACACGCTGTGTCTGAGGCTGCTCCTCGAAATAGCAGACAACCCAGAGGCAGTGGATGTGAGAGACGCCAAGGGACAGTAAGTGCTTTCATGTGGGCTTCTGCCGTTGCGTCAGTCGCAAGGGCTGATTGGTTGGTGTGTCGGGCAGTGAAGAGGGTAAGGAGCCTTGAACAATGAGGCGGCACCACCAGGACGCTTGAAGTGAAGAACTCAGTGTATGCATCTGTTAATGACAGTGAGCGCCTTTTTATCCTGGCTGTAGCCATGTTTCCTGGTTTTTGATATTTCCTCTTTCTTCCTGTCTTTGACTTCTAAAGCTACCACTTTGCCACTTTTTAATAATGGCAAAAAGGCAGACCCTAAGAGTGTGTCTCTTGTGGAAAAAAAAATCCTTCTCATTTTCTCTCTACTGGCCTAGTCTTTTTTTTTTTTTTTTTTTTTTTTTTTTTAATTTATTTATTACATATACAGTGTTCTGCCTGCAGGCCAGAAGAGGGCACCAGATCTCATTATAGATGGTTGTGAGCCACCATGTGGTTGCTGAGAATTGAACTCAGGACCTCTGGAAGAGCAGTCAGTGCTCTTAACCTCTGAGCCATCTCCCCAGTCCCTACTGGCCTATTCTTTACCCAGGCTTTTCTTACAAAAAGGAAGTGCAGAGAGAAAGACTCTTGTTAGTTCCCAGGTGCATGAGCGTAAGTGACAGAGAGGGGCCAGGTCTTAGTCAGACTTATCTTCTATCAGCTCTGTCCATCAGGCAAGTCTTTAGCAGAGTCCAGCACGGACTGCTGTAAAAGTAGAGCTGCCGTGACAGAGGCCAGAGACTCCTCTGTGTGCACACTCGCCCCAGCCAGCTGGCTCCTAGTGACCACCACACTTTTTTTTTTTTTTTAAATGGTGGAATTAACGTGACTACTTGAGATGAGCCCCTGCCCTGGCCCTGTGTTTCATGCCACCATTCCATGCGGCCCTAAGAACAGAAATGGATCTCTCGTTCCACGTGTAGAGCAGCGAATTAGATACATAGAGGATACTCGGCAAGTACTGAGACTAGAAGGAAAGCTCTCCCCTCGCTGGAAGTAGTTTTCAATTTCCTTTTTAAATGCCTATTTTTTTCTTCTCCCTCGCTAGAACCCCGCTGATGCTTGCAGTAGCGTACGGACACATCGACGCCGTTTCCTTGTTACTTGAGAAGGAGGCAGATGTAGATGCCGTTGACATAGTGGGATGCACAGCCTTGCATAGAGGGGTATGTCCATGTCTCCCAGCTTCAGGCTGGCCCCTTTCCCACGAGCTTGCTTTGTCTTTCGCTAGGTTTTAGGGGGAAAGATTTGTCTCATAATGTAGTCAGTCAGCCTCGCAGTGGGGATGAAATTACGGAGTGTCATACAATGGTGCGATAATGAAAGCTACCGTCAGGTCCTGGCGCCGTGAGCGCTTGTGTTGGACTGTGAATACAGACACGTGAGAGCCTGCTGTGGGAGGGGCTGGCTCTCCTTTCTGATTACGGAGCGCATATCGCAGAAGATTTGCAAAACATGCTTTTTAAGTGCAGAAGAAGAAACAGCACGACCAGCAGTGATCACACCTCTGAGAGATAACCGCACTTGACCTACACAGCGCACAATGATCTTTTCTCCTCTTGGTATGCATAAAGGAGCATTCTCCATGCTATCGAGTATTCTTTCCGCGTGGGCTTTTCCAATGCTCCACTGTGTGTAGACGCCCAGGTGAATTCGGCGGTTACCTGGTTTTGAGCAGCCGCGCTATTTCTGTTGCTCTTTGTGACAAATGACAGCGATGTACGTAAACTATGGCCAGTTCTTTGTACATATCTGCTGAATTGTTTTTTGTTTTTTGTTTTTTTTTTGAAGGACAAAAATAAGCTAAATGAACAAAGGTTAAAAAAATTATAAAATTGCTCTGTGGCGGTGGTGTAAACAATCTAGTTAGTGACTAAGAGACTTTTCCGAGGTTATTGACATAAGCACGGTTTTTATTTATTGACCCTTCTTTCAGGCCGTGCAGCAATCTAGGGGGAATTTTACACACACACACACACACACACACACACACACACACACACACACACACACACACGTCCATCCGTGACGGGCTGCTCGTGGAGCAGTGACGTCATCCGGTTCTAATGGAGCTCAAGAGATTCCTTTCATGTAGAACTTTTATACGAACACTTGCCACCGTGTGAGGTCATCGCTTCTCCGCCTCCCACAGTGGGGCGGGAGGCGTGGGGTGGGTGGGACAGGCAGGATTTGACATACTCTTGCTTGATTCCGAAGCTGGTATTTTCTGACGTATCACGATACCGTCCCTGGTTGTGTTTGGAGAGAGAGTTCCGAAATGCTTCTCAAGTAGGGATTTTGCTAGGGTAGTTCTGCTTCCTACCTGCGCAGCAGAGGCATCCGCTCCTCCTGCTCCTTTAGGCCAGGCCACAGGTCCAGGGCGGGGGAGGCCTTCCATTCTCAGGGGTGTTGTCCCTCGCTGACTGAGGTTTGTTTTGCATTTCGATCACAATGTGCCAGATTATGACAGGGCACGAGGAATGTGTGCAAATGCTGCTGGAACAAGAAGCGTCGATCCTCTGTAAAGACTCCAGAGGGAGGACGCCCCTGCACTACGCGGCTGCCCGGGGCCACGCCACGTGGCTGAGTGAGCTGCTCCAGATCGCCCAGTCTGAAGAGGACTGCTATCTCAAAGACAACCAGGGCTACACACCGCTGCACTGGGCCTGTTACAACGGTGAGTGGCTTGTCCCCTGAGCTGGGCTTTCTGACCTCTGTGACCTCAGTGGAGGTGAGAACGTTGCCATGCTGGGCTTTCCGGTGTCTGTCTTTGGTTGTTTTAAACAGATCCCTCATCCCCACCCTGTGGCTGCCATGATGCCATGGCTGAGTACGAGTTGCTTCCCCCTTCTCTGACATACTACTCCTCTTCAGAGTTGCCAGTGGAATTAAGCAATTGTAACCAGAGTTTCCGATCTATATCAGATAACCGTGAATCCTATGAAGTATTAAAACAATAAGGGTAGAAACAAAATAACATACAGTATAGATCCTGCCACAAGTAAACACTAGCAGATGTGGTTTATATTTTAGTGTTTCTTTTCTAACATTTATGTTTCACATTTACTTTGTTGTGCTTACTACTTGGAATATTTAATTTTTTTATTTCAGCTATGTGGAAAAAAGAAAGAGGAGTGCTAATTGTACCAATTCATAACTATTGAAGGGCTGAGGTTATGGCTCTGTAGAGTGCTTTCCTAGCATGCATAAAGCTTTTGGTTCAGTCCCCATCACTGCATAAAACAATTAGGTCTGCTGGCAATGCTTTCACCCCAGCACCCAGCAGGTAGAAGCAGAAGGATCAGAAATTCAAAGCTACCCTCAGCCATGTAACAACCTCAAGATCAGCCTGAGCTACCAGAGACCCTGTCACAAAACTAAAGAAAGAAAGGAAAGCTAAGCCAACATTTTCTATTTCCAACCTCATTTTCTGATATGATTTTGTATGGATGTTTCTAAGTTTCCCCTCTGAGATTATAAATAAAATAGTATACATCTACTTTAAGTGAAATTATATAACAAGCCTCAACCCACAGCTTTCTTTCTTTCTACTGGTGTTTCCTTAAAATCACCTATCAGGCTATCCTTAGCCACTGTATGCATCATAAATAGTTTTAGTAGCTATATACTAATAGCTACACACACACACATAGACACACTCCTCAGAACTTACTGCTTATTGGAACAGATCTCCTTTGAAGAGACATTCAGATTAACTTTAGGCTTTCTTTCCTACCATAAACACTGTGGCAAGTATGCATGTTCATATTATAACATGAAAAATCTCATTAAATATCCAGAAGTTGAAATTTTTAAAATGAAGGGTGTGTTTTTAAACTGTAAGGAATAATATTTTGCACAAGAGGCTTCCATAATGTGATGAAAGTGTTTTCCCCACAGCGTTGCTAGCCCAGGGTGGGTCTACCTCTATTTTTGGCAACAACAAAAGTGCAAACATGTCTTTTAAAGTGTGCGTCTCCATGCTTATGGCTGTACTTACGGGCTGTGGTTCCTTCTCTGAGAGTGGTCCTCTCCATCCATGCTTGCTTTCTCTTACTGAAAGAGACAGCTTGTGTTTTCTCGTGCAACTGTAAGCCTGGTATCTTAGCTGTGTACATCTTCCGCACTGTATGTTGGCGGTGATTTTCATCCTTGTTTTAAATGCCCTTTCCCATGCAGATGTCTTGAGGTTGAAACTATTTTATGGTATCTCTCTAACCAGCCTTTGTAAGAAGATCTCACACCAGCCAAGATAACGGATATTTTCTGCAGATATTTTTTACTCTACTTCTGTGCCCTTACATTTGCATGTCGGTTTCATTAGGATTTTTAATTTGGAAATTGTCATCATGACTTCTGGGAAGAGTTTCTGCGTTCTAATTCCATGACTTAAAACTGCTTGTGTGTTTTCATTAGTCTTCTCTTTCATTGGTTCTGCCTAAATTTAAAACAAGACAAAACAAAAGGTTGCTCCTCTTCTACCACTGGCCGACTATAAGTTTTTTACCTAAAATAATTTTTAATGTGTTAGAAATATTTGTTAACTAAAATACATCACTTAACTTAATTTTAACCTGTTTGCTTACCAGAAATTTTCTACTGTCTTCTGCATATTTTTTTTTAACTTTTAACTTTATTTACTTAGTTGTTCACTTTACATCCCAATTGTAGTCTCCATCATTTTCTCCTCCTGGTTTCACCCTCTCTCCCTCTTCTGCCGTCCTCTCTCCCCTACCTCTCAGAAATGGGGCTCCCCAGCCCACCCAGCACCTCAGGACTGAGCACATCCTCTTCCTCAATGGCCTGCAAGGCAGCTCCACCAGGGGCAAGTGATCAAAAAGCATGCAACAGAGTCCATACCAGAAACAGCCCCCACTCCCCTTACTAGGAAGCCCACAGGAAGACCAAGTTGCCCCTCTGGTATATATGTGTAGGGGCCTAGGTCCAGTCCATCTGCACATATTTTTTTATACTATAGTTTTGCAAGACAGCATTTCTCTTGACTTCGCATGTAAAAAAGATATGTTTAGGGGAGAGGGGCCTATGACCGAGGTGTAAATTGAATTAATTAATTTAAAAAAAAGAAAGAAAGGAAACAAGATGTAGAGAAGATGTAAAATGGCAGGGAAAGAGACCTGAAGTTGATCTTTCTGCTCCAGCGGCACGGGCATACACAGAATGACATATGGCGGTTTCATCAAAACTACCATATCTACAGCTGGCTAGGCAACCCAGTGGCTGCTGTGACCTTATTCAGTAACTGAAAATGGCATTTGGTAGCAGGAAGGAATGCTGCCAGCCATGAGTCACTCTCATCCCAAACTTTCTTGCCCTAAAATAACCTACAACCCGTGAGCTCTCTCTGGCAAGGGAGAGTCAACATGAGGAAGGGAAGGTTGTTTTGAAAATCACTGAAGGTGAGGGCAGACACAAGTCTGTCACAGACCACAGCCTCCTCACCCTGGGGCTGGGTCCAGTTACAAGTGAAGGAGAGCGGGCTTTTCCCAAGCATCCACACTTCTGGGGTTCCAGAGCAGCCTCCCTCGAGGTCAGAGGTCCAAGCTGCCAGCATCCCCTTCACTGGGCAGTGTAGACTGTTGAAAGTGCCACTCTTCAGTCTCAGCTGTATGCCCAGCCTCCCTCTACGGAGCGGAATGTGCAGCTGTTGTCCTTAGTTGTTCCTGTCCATGACCACTGAGTGATGGTTGGAGGCAATGAGAAAGTTAGATAGTATCATTTACTTCTCAGTCCTTCTAAAAGAACTATCAACGTGTCCCTTTAGAAAGGTTTTGTTTGTACTTTAGTATTTCAAACTGCCCATGTGGGAACTTTGACTAAATTAGCCCTGAGGTCAATCAAGAAGAGGTTCTGGGTTGGTGATTTGTGATAAAGCCAACTAACCATGCCTACCCGTCCTAAAATTGTACAGCATGTTCCAAAGGACACTTAGGTCTTTAACAAAGTCCCATCGTCTGTGACAGGGCAAGGTGGATGTTCCTAGGCCAGCTGTGAATATGTGTAGGAAACTGAGGTTCAAAAAGTCACAAATAAACTGTCTCAGGTCACGTACAAATAAAATGGACCGTGCTGGCTAGTTTTATGTCAACCTAACACAAACTGAGTCATTTGGGAAGAGAGAACCTCAGTTAAGAAAATGCCCTGACCCAGTTGGCCTGTGGGCAAACCTGTGGTAGGTTTTTTTTATTAATTAGGTCATAATTAATATAGGAAGGCTCAACTCACTATAGGCAGTGCCATCCCTGGGCTGGTGGTCCTGGGTGCTAGAAGAAAGCAGGCTGAGCAATCCATGAGGAATAAGCCAGGAAGCAGCATTTTCCTGTGCCCTCTCCAGTTGTTTCTGTCTTAGCTTCCCTGGATGGTTGGCTTTGACAAACTGTGAGATGAGAATGGATACTTTTTTCCCCCAGGTTGACTTTGGTCATGGTGCTTTATCATAGCATTAAAAGCCCTAGTTAAGACAGGGCAGGGCAAGGTTTAAAGGTCTCATGTCAGAGCTATTTACCATCATGCCTCACATTTACTCATGCGCTTTTCTAAAAAAAAAAAAAAAAAAAAAAAAAGCTCATTGAGCCTACTGTGGCCAGGTGCCACTAAAACCATGGCCATGATAATTTACATCTAGAGCCATTTTTGTTTGTTTTTCTACAAGGCACATGCCCCTTCCCTTGGGTACATGATCATAAGTTAAGCTATTTGTGTGGGTGAATGGCAAATTTCTCCATTACAAACCTGGGAAAATTGAGGCATGCCGATGTTGGCATCTAGAAAGAGCTGAGGGTGGCTAGAATCTCTGCTGCTTACAGATGAGGTGGCTTCTTTATCTCTCTCCACCAGACCATATGGCCTTCACTGCTTGATTTGTTCATTATATCTCAGAACACCTGTGAGCATAGCTAATAACATTTTAACATTTTGTTAATTTTATTCCACAGAGAACAAGCGTTCAGCCAATTCAGGAAAATTCATATGCTAGAACCCAATGCTTAATGGGAAATTAAAAACAAAACAAAACAAAACCAGAAGACTGTGTTGAGCAAAGTCTCTTTCTTGGGAGCTCTCTAATTTTTATTATCATTATTATTATTCCTTACAGGTAATGAAAACTGCATAGAGGTACTTTTGGAGCAAAAATGTTTTCGAAAATTTATCGGTAATCCCTTCACTCCATTGCACTGTGCAATGTAAGTAGAAACGCTGGAGAAGCTATGGTGCTGCTTTTGTCCTTTAACTATGTGTAGAAAAAGTACCTTTTATGAATGGAAAAAGCATTCAGATCCGATAAGACTAATGTATTCTATTCTGCTGCTAAAGACAATAGGTCTGCTAGCAATGCACGGGCTCTCACGTTAATGATTTTCCAGAAGCCATAGTTCCAAGGTGACTCATGTACCACAAGGGGACACTGAGGGCAGTGGCCTGAGCCGCCTGGTTTGTAGATTGGAGAACCCTTCAGTGGTAGCCTCCATTGCTTGGCAAATTCTGGAAAAGAAGCCAAGGTTAATCCTGATACATCTGTAGCTGGTTAGAAATTTTCCACCAGGAAGGCTTTTCATATAATTCCTCATCCTCATCCTGATCTTGCTTCACCTCCCCGATCCTTCTCCTCTCTCCTCTTCCTCACTCTCCTCCTCCTTTTCAAACTTGTTATTGCAAGTTCATAGAGAGAAATGTTATTCAGAGACTCCAGGGACCTGAAGTCAGGGTTCCACGAGTCAGCCTGGGGTGCGAGGCTTGAAAGTCCTTTGTCTTCACATTGTCTGCAGACTTCCCACCAAGCTGGGTCATTTGACTGGAGAGATACTAGAGGCATGAAATCACATCAGTAAAGAGTAGGGAAGAGAGAATCAAGGTGATTTTAGGGGCTGGGGAGATGGATCCATGATTAAGACCACTTGCTGCTCATGTAGAAGACCCAAATTTGGTACCCAGCATCCACATGGTGGCTCACAGCTATCCTTACCAGTGTCATAGGATCTAGTACCCTCTTCTGGTATCCCTGGGCACTAAGGTACCCATGCAGTGCACATACATACATGCTGGAAAAACACTGGTGCGTAGAAAATACAAACGAACACATCTTTAAGATACTAACCAGGGTGACTTCATGTGTGAAGGATCTCTGTCTTCTCCATTTTGATGTCTGGACATCACCAAATGCGGAGGTCCTAAATGGAAGCAGTGGGAGGTTTCAGTGTATTGCAGCATGCCACATATATTGGCATCGGATTTCTAAAAATACATCAAATTGCTAAATATACAGTGCATATAAAAACGAGGTCTGGAGGAATATATAATTTTAATGAGTTTCTTTACAGTAAAATCTACTTTCATTTTAGAATAAATGGTCATGAGAACTGTGCATCGCTGCTACTGGGGGCCATAGATTCCAGCATCGTCAGTTGTAGGGATAACAAAGGCAGGTAAGTGATGCAAAGGTGTCACGCTCTTAGTCTTGAATGTTGGCCTTTGTTTCAAGTTGTAGGCTAGTAGAACATTTGCTTTTTTTTTTTTTAATATACACTTACTTTTAGTAGTGCTAAGAATTGAGTCCAGGGCCTTAGACAAGCCAAAAAGTACCATTGAACTGTATCCCCAGCCTTTAGTGTTTAGAGACAATCTTGCTATGCAGCTCAGGCTGGCCTTGAACTAGCTATGAAGCCCAGGCTAGCCTCAAACTCATAATCTTCCTGACTTTACCCTCCTGAGTGCTAGGATCATGGACATAGACAGGGCTTGGACAAAAGAAAAAGATTTTTTAATTGAGAAAGTAATGCATAGTATGTTTTTAAATCAAATATTATAAAGGATATAGACTTTTAAAAATTGCTCCTCTTGGTCCAGAATCTCTAGCCCCTGCCTTACATAAAGCAGGTATGCACAATTCTTTCCAGTATTTGTATTATCTTATACTTTTTTATACACATCTACAAAATAGACATTGAATATATATAAAGACTATTTCTATACAAATGGACTTTATATAATCATGTTCTGCTTTTAACATATATATAGATATATACATATATGTGTATACACACATATGAATTATATATCTCTATATATGTATGTATTCTGGAGATCCTTCCATACTAAACATAAAAATTTACTTTGCTTTTTAAGGCTGCATATTATTTCATCGAATGAATGCATAACACATTGCTTAGCCCGACTTCTTTAGAATAATATTCATGTTTCTTTCAATACTCTGCTATTTCTAAGAAGTGGCAGAGTGAACACTTATGTGTGAATCTATTTACAAGGCCAAATGTATGCAGGAGATGGGGTCCTAGGTGGAGCAACTTTGCCAAGGCTAATGCTTTTTCCATTTCATGAGTAATGTCAAGTCGCCTTCCCCAGGAGCCCTACCATCTGCTTTAGATAACATAGGCTTTTAAAGTTTTTAGTTAACCAACAAATTTCCTACAAATTAGCCCTTAATTAAGTTAAAAGTACCTGTCTCATAGATGAGTGAGAACTCACCTGAACTCAAGATTAAAAGGTCAGCAACATGCTGATTTTCTTATCAGGGTTATTGGGTAAGCCTCCCCCCAAAATCTAAAGGGTACCGTCTGCATAGGTGAGGCTTCAGTAACCATCTTGAGTAATCCTTAGAGAGGATTTGGTCATTATATCTGATAGCCAAGATGCCTTGAATCTTTAGAGAACACCTCATGTGGTTCCTGGTAGTTTCCGCAGGCAATGTTTGAAGGCAATAAACCGTATGTGTTTGAAACCTTCAGGACAACCCTCCATGCAGCAGCCTTCGGTGATCATGCGACGTGCCTGCAGCTGCTTCTGAGACACGATGCTCAAGTGAATGCTGTAGATAATTCAGGGAAAACAGCGCTGATGATGGCTGCTGAGAACGGGCAGGCCAGTGCTGTGGGTAGGTACCTGGGCTGTGGACTTCACACTTTAGGCCTCTCCAAAACTCCTCAAGCAGAGGAGCCAGCGCTGTTGAAGCACAGGCACCTGACAGGGCCAGTTTTACCGAAGTCACCCGTGTGCTCAGTCATCTGCAGCTTTTGTAACTGTCTCTGGAGGACTGCAGCAAAGTACGCTGACACCTGAATGAAATCTCTCAGAAACAAGATACAGCAGCAGAGCCATCTTGTCTGGAAATAACAGCACTGTACTTGGATTTAGCCCAAAGGTTGAAGAGTGGTGAAACAGTGAAACTCAGCTGATGGTGGGAACTAGCCCACCCAGTTCCCATTTGAATGCAACAAATATGGCAGCAAACTACTCCTTTTTACAAACATTAAATATAGCTGTGCTATTTGGTAGCCACACTAAAACACGTGGTTGGCATGCAGTCTAAGTAACTCTCTCTTGGCTTTGTCTATAGATATTTTGGTGAACAGTGCCCACGCTGACCTGACTGTGAAGGATAAGGACTTGAACACTCCCTTACATCTGGCTATCAGTAAAGTATGTAATGGGTTTTAAACAGCGCCGCTTACTGTTGCAGTCATAGTATGAAACCACAGGACATCTGTCCATCTGGGACCTACATAGCAGGGATTTTAGCTAAATGACCATTTCTCAGGATTCTGTCAACTGTTCATGAAAATGAAGGGAGAGAAGGAAGGGGCAGAATTCTGGGTTGATAGGATGCTCCACCCGTCAGAATGAATAATGAAGACTTGTTTCACTTGCATTGACCGCTTGCAATCCTACCTGTCCTGATATTGCCACTCTGTCTCCCTGTTGTAGAAATATGTTTTGGTACAACACAACAGGTTAAGATTGTTAGTTATATGGCTTATAAACTCTAAACACTTTCCACTGAGTTTCATTTGAAGACACTGAGAACACAGCCCCAAATCATGGTATTGCAAAGCAATATCCATGTGCAAAAAGCGTGGTAGATTTTTTTTCTTCCATAAAAGATACATAAAAATGCCTATGTGTGTGATTTTTACAAAGTGCATTATATAGAATGCCAGTTGAAACCAGCGGTATCAGAAATCTCAGCCATCCCTCTCCATGTTTTGTTTTGTTTTGTTGTTCTTTGGTTTTTGGTTTTTGTTTTGTTTTGTTTTGTTTTTAGACAGGGTTTCTCTGTAGACCAGGCTAGCCTCGAACTCAGAGATCCACCTGTCTCTGCCTCTGCCTCCCGTGCTGGGATTAAAAGCATGTGCCACCACTGCCTGGCTTCAGCCATTCCTCTCATTGGTTTTATATTTTGTATTATTGCTCTGGAAAGAACTTGGAAACAACAGAAGTGCTCAGAATCTGAAAGTTTATGTCAAAGCACAGTGTTGTAAAAGTAACTTTTATTTGCCTGAGGAAATTGTTGTCTGGGAGGCTTACTGCCTCCTTCTGCTAACCTAGACCTAGTCCTGGAAGCTTCTCACCTCCATACAGTCTAACCTAGGCCTAGAGTGTTTTCAGCCTCTGAGACTTACTGCTGAATAAGCTCACTCTTTCTTGCTCTTACTAAGCTCTGGGCTGGCTGGTTCAACTCAACTGTTCTGGCTCAAACTCCTCTCCCAGCTGACTTATTCAGTCTGTCTTTTTTCTCAGTCCCTGGATTGCTCTGCTCTGCTTAGCCTCCAACTAACTCAAGCAATCTGCTCTAATCTCCTGGCTCCTTGTCATTCTCTGGCTCATTTCATCTTCACCTGAGTTCTCACTCTTCAACTGGTCTATTACTGTCCTGGTAAAAACTGTCACCTCTCTATCTGAATTGCCTATTAAGTAGTTGGAAATTTCCTATTCTGTCAAATCTTTCTCTGATTTCACCTTTCCTGATGTCACCTTTTCTGGCACTCACTGTAGGCATCACTTTCAAACATGGGTGCTTCCTTGTGCAAACTGACTTCATCTTCATTGTTTGGGATTAGAGGTGTGGACCACCACACCTGGACCTAAGCTTTTCTTCTGAAACTCACTCAATACCAGGCTGATCTTGAACTCAGATCTGCTTGCCTCTTGTCTCCTGGATTAAAGGCGTGTTTGTAGTCCAGCCAGATCACGTAGACTTAGAAGGTCTTTGGATGTGATCTCTTGCCAGAGCAGCCACATTCTAAATTAAAGTTCCTCTACAGAGTATGTTAGTGAAGAGACCTGTGGTGCTTTTCAGACATCTTTATGTAAAGGAATCACTTAAGAATGTCACATTCTCAAATTAAAAAAATACAGATTCTAGCCAGGTGTGGTGGTATGTACTCTAGAGGATGAGATGGGAGGATCAAGGGTTCAAAGCTAGCCTGGTCTATGTAGTAAGACCCTATCTCAAAAAACAAACAAACAAACAAACAAACAAATAAAAATACATGCTCTTTATTAAGTCTAAGATGGCCTAAGCTTTTTGTTTGTTTGTTTGTTTGTTTGTTTGTTTTAGGCAGAATTTCCCTGCCTGTGTATGTGCTAGGAAGAGTCAACATTTCTAATTCACAGATAATACTGATGATAGTGATCTATGCCCTTAATTAGCAAAGGCTTAGTAATCCATGACCCTAGACCTAATAATTGGTATTTTTAATTATCAAGCATCTATTGTCATAAGATCCAGAGATATCTTTATTTTTGGTTAAAAAAAACAAAACAAAACAAAACAAAAAAACATATCAGAAACAGGGTTTCTTCATAGTATCAAACAGAAATGAAGATAAGTGATACAGATCTTGGGTGTCATGGTAACTCCAAGGGAGATGGATCACTAGGGTGGTAATTGAAGGCTTGAAGAAGGAAGGACATGATGTATGCTCAAGAAGCAGTGCTAAAGAATTTAAAGGGCACTGCTAACTCTTCCCTTCATCACCCGTGACCCAGCAAGGTTCACATCCGCTTTCACTCTCTGGATGTTAATTATAAAAATTATCTTGGAAATATTCATACTCAGTATGGATATTTTAGGTCAGTCACATGCTAAACAAGTCCTAATAGGCCCCATGTAGAAGCTTAAAAGTACCCTGGGCCCAGCTACTTTTTAGAAAAGGAATCACTCAGAAAATAGCTTTGAATGTTTTCAGGCAGAGGAAGCTGGTATTCAATTGAGAGTACAATCAGGTGAGCATTCAGAAGGTTTTCTGCATCTCTGTCTCATGTCTCATGCTCTTTTTCTTTATTAGGGCCATGAGAGATGTACCTTGTTAATACTTGACAAGATACAGGATGAGAGCCTTATTAACGCGAAAAACAGTGCTCTGCAGACGTGAGTGTGACAACTGTAGCTTGACTTGAGCCCGGAATCATAGGATTTTATCTTTATTTATTCTTTGGGAGCTTCTCACATGTATGCAATGAAATATGGCTATATCCATCACCATTACCCTCCTCCAAGATCCCCTTAGCATGACCCCATCCCAACTGCATGTTTTTTTTTTTCTTTCAATGAGCCCATTAAGTCCAATTTGCGTACATGGACCATTCCCTGGAGCATGGGAAACCTACCAGTGGCCACCTCTGCCAAAAAGAATGATCCTCCCCCTGCAACCCCAACTGTCCTCTGCAAAAAGCTCCTCAGTGAGGGGAGATCTTCTATCCCATCTACGTTGAGGTTTTGCCTGGACTGATCTTGTGCAAGTCTTATGCAGTTAAGCACAGCTACTGTGAGTTAATGAATGCAATGGCTGAGTCATGTCCAAAAGACAGAACGCCACCGCTCTTCTCCACATCCTCTAGCTTTTACATTTCTTACCGTCTTCCCTGAGATGTTCCCTGAGCCTTAGCCTGTGGGGGAGGGCATGATAAAGATGTCTCATTTGGGGTGGGGCCAGAGTCATGGTATTTATCCAACACCTAGAAGAGCCTGCCACGTACTAGTCTAGTTCTGAGAGGCAGAGGAGTGATAGATAGTGCTGACCTGCCTTCACCTGCATGAGGTTGATTTATGCACATCTGTGATGTTGACTAGCGATACACGGTTGTAGGTAGAGCCCTTATTTTTGATATGGCTCAAAGGATTTGGAAGATCTTTGTTCTCCCTACCAGTGTTTCTGTGCTTCATTATAAATTTAGTGAGCTTTCAGAAAAATCTTCTGGGCTTATGAACTGACATATTTGGGGAAACTGTGTGTATTATGCATTAGCATTATGTAGTCTGACTGGAAAAACGTCAGGTTTATAAATCAGGTTCCCAGAACACATCTGAACAGTTTCTAAGCTATTTGTTGTAATTATATTTTAATGTAATTCAGTGTAACCCTCAGTGTGAAGTATCTAAAAGCTGCTTCGTTTTCCATTTTGGGAAATTACTTATGCATTTGTTTTAAAGGCAAAGAACACTTTTTTTTTTTAATTTATTTAAGATTGTTAAAGGATAAAGGATACGGCACAGTATACTGAGTGTGAGACTCTTTTATAAGGTGCTATAATCCAGTAAGACATCTATGGACATGTAATACTAAAAAGATTTAAGAGTGGATATTATCATCAGCCATCCCAACAAACTTTGTGGAACAGGGACTCGAATTAGCCAGTGAAGGGCCTCTTACAGAACACACAGAGCCTGAATTCCTCTCCTGGCCTTCTCTGTACTATCACCAAGACTGTTTAAGACACAGACTATGTATAACACTTGCAGAGAGATCTGAGCCAAACACATAAGAATAGCTGGATCAATAATACCTGGAAAAGATACGGTCAACATGACTCTTTTTAACAACAAAAAATAACCCTGTATTGTTTGTAGATTCCTAAGTATAACTTCCTTCCTTTTAGTGACATAAGTTAACAAAAATGTCACTTTTTTTTTCACTGTGAGTTTTTCTTTAGATCAGATACCCAAGAGAATCGTGAAGAGAAAAGGCTTGTTTTGGCTCACAGTTTTGTATGTTTCAGTTCATGATGGTTGGCCCCTCCACTTTGCATGAGGCAGCACATTTTGACCAGGAACCCACAGCTTTTCACTAACAGGACCAAAAAGAAAGCAGGAGTGGGCTAGGGTCTTGCAGTGCTTCAAAGGCATGCTCCAGTGACTGAGGATTCTCACTGGGCCCCTCTCACAGTAGCTACCATCTCCCACCTCCACCAGGCCTACAGTGCAGGCTTTTGGAAGGTCCCAGCTATACCACTCACACAAACATGTTATCACGGCTGATGTCGTGTTGTCTTTCAGACCCCTCCATATTGCCGCACGCAATGGCTTGAAGGTGGTAGTTGAGGAGTTGCTGGCCAAAGGAGCCTGTGTACTTGCTGTAGATGAAAATGGTAAGTAGGAAAAATTGCTACTGGTTGTATTGGTTGAAGCCAGAGGACAGTGTAAGAGAGAGGAGTTGCTTAAGAGCCAGTAAGAGGTTTCTTCCCGTTGGAAGTGTTTTGTGTGTAATCAATCGAGCCCAAGTAACACAACCTGCCTGTCTTTCTGTACAATACGTTGTCTGCCTATAGCCCACCATTGTTGTCCATGTCGCATGTGACATTACCAGCTGAGCACATCTCAGTCAAAAACTCTCAGGCATCCCAGCAACCTCTCAGCTTGGCCTTGGGAGTTCCAACTGCACACGCTAAGGGGTGGGAGACACACTAGGTCTCAGTGTCATCAGTATACACACCAGGGCACAGGGATCACAGATCTTTTCATTTTCACTCATTCTGAGATCAAATATGTAACAGGACTCACCTTGTTCATAGAGAAAGCTGGCAAGCATGAATAAAATGTTTTAACTAAGGTCTAAGGCTGGAAGTTCCTCCTGTCGTGTATGACTTGCCTTCCCTAAATGAGCCAGCTCTTATCTCTACTTCCTCCAACATGATAAAAACTAATGAATACCAGAATCCTACTAAAGGACCACTGTACCCACAATGCCTCTCAACCTTGGGACGCAAAGGAGAAGATTCCGGATATTTATGAATTAAGTGATTTCTGCACTGTGACATCTAACTAAAGTGTTCTGCTATGTTAATGCTACTCAATTAACTGCCTATTACAGGTGTTGGACTTAGCAGCTCATGCCCATTTCTAAGAAGTAAGCAGCCATGCTGAATCTTAGCTGACTCTTTAGTTTTGCTCTTGCAACCCATGTATCCTAGCATGCACCCTGCTCTCTCCCCAACACGGCTCACGCAGGAAGTACAGAGGGTCCTTAACGTCTCCCCTTTGTTTTTCCACCTTATCTTTCTTCTCTTTGAGCAGCATCACATACCCTACACAGAGCATGAAGAAGCCCACTCTCCAAAAAGGAGAGTGGCTGTCATTGTGCCCTTAGGTCTATTCAGTCTGTATCTATGGATACAGGAGCTCCATGTCGCTAGAACCTGCCTTGCTCAGGGTTTAGCTGTGCCCAGTGGCCGGGAGCATTCAGAGACCACTCTGTACCGCGCTGCACCAATAATTCCTCCACTCATCCCTGCCCTTCCAGAAATGGAGTGTTAGGACACCTGACCTTCTTCATGTGTTTTTACTCTGTAAAGATGAATAATCTATTTGGGATTGAGGGTACAGAGGGCCCTCATGTCCAGTGATAGGAAACAGCCAACTTTTATCAGAACAGTGCCTCCGACTGACTGAGGAAGCTCACTGCTCAATGTGGAAGGGGCTCTGTAGCCAACAGGTTAGAAGTTGGATACAGACAGCAAGTACATCTCAAGAGCGAAGCACTCCCGGCATGTGTTGGGGTGCAGTTTTCTCAGGAGTTTCTACAGCCTCAAGTCTGAATGATATGTGACTTTAGGCCTGAGTCACAACACCTAATTATGGCAAACCATCATTTGCCCCACATTTGTGATGGTTCAGATTTGTGGCTTTAGTTGGTGAGGTGACATTTTTTTTAAAGGTCTATTAAAATGCTCTTAAATGATCATAAAGTATTTACTGACAACCAGCCTCCCACATCTGACCTCTTCAAATGCTTTTTCTAGAATAGTAAATTGGTGTGTGCTTTCTATGAAGTGTGTATAAAGTGACATCAGTTATTGGTTTTACCCTTTCTGCTGGACACACACACACACACACACACACACACACACACACACACACGCTTGTCATGGAAAATGACCCCTGTTAAAATGAGAGTCTCCTGCCAGGTCGGTAGCTCATGGTGTGCTCTCAGTGGGAACTCCCTCTTGGATGTCCTATTGCTGGTTTCTGTGGCTTGTGTCCCCAACCTCCCTTCCTTGCCATGTGTCCCCGTTCTCTAGAGGATGGCTGAGATCTGCCTAACTTGGGATCATATTGTGCTTTCTGTAGACATGTGAGCCACCCCCCCCAAAAAAAAAAAACAAACCCAGAACCTCCATGAAATGTCACATCCTTCCTGTCCCACTCCAGTTGTACCCCAGCATGACTTGTGAGAAGCAACTCCTCTTCCCTGGCATGAATTCTAACGCAACATACATCTCCACTCATGAGGCTGTAGGAGATGTACTGTGGAGTGCTGTGCAGCTCTGGGCCTCAGGACTAACCACTGCCTTGTCTGCATTTACGCCCAGGTCATACCCCGGCCCTGGCTTGTGCTCCTAACAAAGACGTGGCTGACTGCCTGGCCCTCATTCTGGCTACCATGATGCCTTTCTCTCCTTCCAGTTCAATGGCGGCTGTCAACTTCGTTTGTTTTAGAAAAGAGAATTTGAGCAGATCAAGCCTCTCCAACCTGGGCAGTAGGGTTAGTCTGTGCAGTAACAACGTGGGCTCTGAGGATGGGTACAATGAAAATGATTCTGATTCGGAAACATTCTAACTCTGGACTGTAGAGGCGTTTCCTCAATTGCCTGTGTTTCAGGAAGGGGTGGCAGCTTGAATTCCAGGTTTCTGTTGCATTCAAGTGTGTGAGGCCAGGAGGAAAGGTGTCAGTCTAACCAAGAGAGGGCAAGTAGGCTGTAGGCTGAAACACACACAGATGGGCCTGGGTTGTGTTTTGCTTCATGTTTTCTTTAAGTCTAAGGTATTTCTATGAATGTCTACCTCTCATTTTAAGTAAGGAAAAAAAAATTAAGTACGTAATTCTTCATCTATGTGGATAATGCAACAGAGAAACAAATGTTCAGTCTAAAGACTTTCTTTTTTTCACATACTCGCCAGTGAGTCCTCTGAGGTCTGTAAAGGTGAAGTTCACATCCCCTGGGAGGGGAGGGAAGAGATAGGAAATGCCTAGACCCTCTTCTCACTCTGCTGTTTACTTCCTCACTAGAAGCCAAAGGTCAAGGTTCATCTTCAGACATAATGCCTATAAATCAACCTCTTAAGGGAGTACACCTGACCCCGCCTCCTCTTTAGGAAGCCGTAAATACTGAGCTTCTTCCCAGGATCTCAGTTACAGTTGCCAGATGAATGTGAGCATTGATTATGATTTTGTTTTGTTTTATTCTGTTTTGTTAAACACAAATGGAATAGCACCAGGGCTCTCCATAAGAAACCTGTGAGTAATTTTTCAGTGGAGTAATGGATCCCAACTCTCTCCAATAACATTTCAGGTGAAATTGCATTGTGCCAAAACTGGAAACAATATGCAAGTCAAATAGGAAATCGCTGTTTATTGAATCTGCTCTTAAATGAAAATGCTAACTTTGTAAGGGCATTAGAATGGCTGGCACTGTCCTTCAATGGTAGAATAGCAAAATAGCTGCTCAGTCAAGCTCATGCCACAGGAATGACAGTGTGCCTGTAAGAGGAAACCAAGAAAGTGAAAGCAGAAAGCAGAAATGGTTGATGTGGAGGTGCAAGCCAGTTGCCAGTCATTTCAGTAATAAAAATCAGCATTGTGAATCCTGTGTCTGCTCCCTCTGCCAAAGCTTCTAGGTCGAATGGACCCCGTTCTCCACCTGGAACGGCTGTGCGAAAAGAAGAATGAGGCTTTAAGAATTGCATACATACACATGACACATGTGAATATTTATGTCTATACTTCGTCAACCAGCTATCCATGAGGACCAAAATGTTTCTGCCTAAACCGGGAGATTTTAAACTCTTTCTTTCTAAATGCAAGTGAGAACTGTTGTAACTTTTCTATGGGGTTAAAATGTAATCTTTTTTGCATACCAGTCTTTGTTGTATTTTATATTTCTAATGACACATTTCTAGTTGACTGCTTGACATTTGTAACTGATGGTATGTTGACAACAGGTTTTTGTTTGTTTAGTTTTCAAACTAGAGAATATGTCCGTATGCTTTGATGTAAATGTGTTTGTATTTATTTGAAATGAAACAAATGCGGAGGAAATATCCACTGTTTAGGTTTCTCTTTTTTTTCCCCTCTGTCCCTTTCCCTCTCTCCTACCTGTCCTCCCTCCCTTCTGACCTCTGTCTCTCCCCATCTCTTGTTTTAGTTGCTACCTACCTATTTAGAATAACAAAGTAGGTGGGGAAGAGCCTGGACTCTGAGCTAGCCAATAGCTCTAGGATTAAACCCAGCATTTCCCACTTCCACCAGCTGGCTCTTGGGTTTTACCATTGCTTGGCCCGGCTTTATAGCCAATCAGAGCCCTTCTGTGAGATGAGAACTGATGTAGCAGATTATCTAGATACAGGTAGCCCAAAGAAAGACCCAGAGACTACAGAAACTACACCAAAAAATACCACATGGTCCTGACAACTGAATGGGAAATGATACCAAGTACGGGCACTATGCCAAGAAAAGGAATTAAAAAACAAACACAAGCCTGAGTGCCATATTCCATGCTGAAGATCCAGGAAAGCCGCAGCAGTGGGGCACAGCTTTACAGTGGATTCTCTCTTCTCCTTTGAATGTTCTATTTTATAGCATTTTAAAAACAGTGTCCTATCACATCTGGATCAGACCCGGAGAACGTATTCTGTTGTTTTCGTCAAGCTGTAAGAGCCCTTACTCTTTTAATATCCTGGATTTAATTAAAATTCATGTTGGCTCTTCACAAATGAAAACCTGTTCAGTGGTTTTATAAAACTGATAATGATTTTATAAAAAAAAAAATTTTTTTTTTTTTTTTTTACACCAGCAACATTTTGTTTTCATTTTTACATTCTTGGTGTAATGTGCCTCGCCATCTGTTTTTGTTGTTGTTGTTGTTTTGTTTAGAGCAGGTGCATTTTAAATAAGGAGACAGCCGGCTAATGAGCAGCGATGACCTCATCTTTAGGGAACCCTGAAGATTAAAGCAGCTCTCCCACTGAAGAGGTGTGATTTGCTGTAGCATTTCTATAGGAATGGAAGTCTTGCTGGTTTGTCATTTAAGGCAGGAAATGAAATACCTGCATTGCTGGTGATGCAGCAGAGAGCAAAGGTGTCCCTTCAGCAAAGAAGTGACCTAGCAGGAACCATTGTGTCCACAGAGATGCACTGACCTTCCCTGGCTCTTTCTGATAAAGGACAAAGGGACACGAGGAAATCAAGCTTGCCAATAGCCGTTCTTCTGAGCTGGTCTCTGTCTTTCTGTCTTTCTACTTGTCTGTCTGTCTCCCCTTCTCTGGCTCTGCTCCCCATTCCCCCATCCAACAAGACCAAATTTTTTTTAGAAGAAATAACTTTTTTAGAAGAAATAACATCTATATATTTCAGTTGTCTCATAAATGCAGCATCGCTTTCTGAGGGGAAAATACTTTCAGTCGTCCCAGTGGCTCCGTGTTTCTACCGAAATGCATTGTTCTTGGAATGTATTTTAGCCACACCACAAGGACCATGTTCCACTGCACATCCTTGTTCACTGGTGTCTGTCTGTCTCTGGTAAATTCATTACTATCTCCAAATTGCCTAACGTCCCAGTAAATAATAGCTCAGGGGATTTCTATTCATCACTACTAAAAGGGCACCATGGTATGTTCTGGGACTTTGGGCAGTAAGCGGTGGCTTGAGTTATTGTTGAGAAAGAACAAGAACACCGGATGGATTTGCTGCTCTAGTTACACCGCGCACTGTTGAGCAGCTTGGTTTGCGGACCCGTTGTGCTGGTCGAGGAGTTCACCCCTTTGTGGTCGTGTGACATGACGTTAGAGTGCCTTTTTATATTTGTATATCCTGGAAATGTTCCATGAAATGTTCTGTATTTTTCATTTGAGTGTTATTGAAGCAATATAATCCTAGTGAGTTTCCTTTCTTTGAATGTACCTCTCCTGTTTCTACCCTCCCCTTTGAACGAAAATGCTCAAGTTTTCTATAGGAATTGTATTTGGCTTTGCAGTGCTCAAATGCTTTCTTCTTACAGAACTGTAAACCATAGGTCAGTATTATAGGGGAACAGCATTTTAAGATAGTGACAATCTGCGTGTGTGTGTGTAAAATGTAATTCTGTGAGTTTCCTACACAGTGATCTGAAGCTCCAGTGCAAGAATCTTTTGTTTAGTAGTTTTGTCTACAGACTACGCTTCGGCATGTGCAATATATCCTTGCAAAGCACGATGATACACATCTTGTGCCAGTGTTATATTTTGTATAACATATTTGTAACAGCATAAACCACTATGTAATTTCAGTGGGATTTTGTCTGCAGTTTTAAAATGTGGACCAGAGTTGAATGACTCTGATAAGCGTCCTGAGTGTAAAAATGAGGAAAATCGCTTTGGGTTCAGTGAAGGACTTTGAACTGGACTGAACCTTCCCCAGCACAGTTTCATACTTTTGCAACTACTGAATGCTCTAATAATGCAATGAAGTACTTACCTGTAATATACAATGGACATGCATTCAGATGGTTATTTTTACAAATAAAAACGGTACAAATATTGTTGCAATTTGTGTCTTGTTTCATTTTTCAGATGTACACTTTTTCCAAATTATGCTAATGTATGTATTTGCCCCCTGACTCCAAACCAAATCAGTTCTGAAAATAATTAAGAAAGCAACCTCCAGATTTGTTATTTATGCTTAAATTATCAGAGGAATAAAAGATTCATTTACTTATGCCTCCAACGTTTTTCATAAAGGAGTTCAGCTGAGATATAACAAAAGTCATGTGATAGATAAGACAGAAGTAGAAAAGTCATGCAATCATGAGAACCACTGATCTTGACACAGTAGGTATGACTGAACTTGAAGTTGCTGTAAACTTCTTTGTGATGAGAGGGACATGTGGAAAGTCCCAAAGCCTGCTGCTGCATCGCTGTCACCATTACAGCGGTCTGGCTTGATGGAAGTGAAAGATTCTCCCTCCACACTGTCCTCGACGGTAGAGTAGAATTTCTGTCTCCATCTGTCCCATGTTTCTCCCGGGATTATTAGCTTCAAGGACAGCTCCCAGAAAAGCTGAGGAACAAACCTAACAATGATGTCTCCAGCTAATGAGAAGGAGACTTGGAGCATGTGGCTTCCCCCTGGTCCTCAAATCACAACGTCACAGAACATACCCTCTCACTTCCTAAAGACCAGCTCTGTCACCAGCTTTTTCATGAAGAAACTGAATTTCCCAGAAGTTCTCCATCCTCAGATTTGCAGAATTAGTGATAGGACCGTGGGGTTTATCCGTCTAGATACTCTCTAGGGTGTTTGTTTTGTTTTATTTTTCTAACAAAGATGTTCTAGAAAGTTTTGTTTTCAATCTTGCCTCATTCTTTGTCTAAATATACAAATCTGGATTGTTGAAGGTATGAGGACCAGGAGCAGAAATCACTGGGAGCTCTTTGTGACAGTGGCAATGTCCTTGAACACCTTCTCCATGCAGGGAAGGCTGAGGGCAAAATACATTTCTTTCAAGAATAATATGGAGATCCCTAAGTTTGCTGTGCCCTCAAAAGCACCAAGGAGCAATGGCTTCTCCTGTGGTATAGTTATTATGTAGGCGTCCCTCTTTGTCTTCAAATTGCAAATCAAAAGATCCTTCTGTGATTTCATTCAATCGGGTTAGAGCCTCATATATCCTTCACTTAATATGCCTAATGTGTTCCAGAATTAGCTTCAGAGACTCAAAAAGCTTTCAGCTTAGAAGGCTATTAACAAGGCATAAAGCCTTGTGGGTAAATGCACTCTAAAGATTGTCTCTTCAGCATGTTTCACTCTGAAGGCGCATTGGCTGTAAAATAAAGTGCAGCAAACGGCGGTGCCATCCATTCACTCAGGCTCCCGGGAAGTAGTTGGAAGTTTGTGGTTGGCCGAATAGCTGGGGACGAAGACTGGGCGGGATGCCGACAGCATTCACTCTCTGGAGGCTCAGGGATGCCAAATGCGCCACCCAGTTCAGTGACCACTTGGTCAGCTCCCAGTTACAGTGCCAAGAGCCCCTTACCCTTGGCTCATCTGCTTCTTCTCTTGTTTCTCAATCATTCCTTCATCAGCTCAGTGCCTGGGAGGTCGGTCATATTTCCTTATCTCTCCCCAAGGAACTGTGTAAACAGGTACTGCTATCTGTCCCATCGTAAGGAGAGTTTACATTCCAAGGTAGTCTAAGCTCGTATATCCTGGTTTTTCCCCAGGAGAGGTTATGTGCAGGTGAGTGAACACACTGAAAGCATCATGAATTCAAGGTGAGCGTTTAATCACTATTAATGAGTGTGGTGTACACACTCATGCGAACATATACACGTTCCTTGTCTTAAGCAAGGGGGATTGTATCTACTCTTCAGGTAGGGAAACTTGTGCTTACGAAGACGGGTGCACATGGTGATACAGCACGGTCTGGAAAGACAACACGGTGAGCTCCGGTAGACACTGGCAGACACAGTCTCTAGCTTTCAGTGACAGTTGGAGTATATTTAAATTCAGGAAGGAAGTTGTACTTTTCAATTGTAAAAAGATACACGTATTTAAAGCACAAAAAGTGAGCCACTGTTTACAGTCACTCGATATCGTGTTGCCAGTGTTACCAGTGGCCTTTGTCTAGAGGGAATTTCTAGGTCTTGCTCTCTTGTTCGAAGAAGATTTGAGGTATACACAAATTTCAAAGCAGCAATGGATTTTATTCAGAAAGAAAAGGTGAGTACGGAATAGATGCATTTCAAGCCAACGAGAGGCCATGAGCGATAGTTACTCACGAACACTGGGTTACTGTTCAGGGCTATCTTGTATGGGTCCAACAGGGACAGAAGTTGGCTGCTTAGGGGTGAGACATGGGTGATTTTTCTCAACAGACTTATCTAAGTCTTTGATTACTGCGCATGCCCTTTTCCATGACCTATCTGATTTTAATTTTACATACACTCACAGGCATAATATTGTAAATAAGAAAAAAATTCCTAAAGGTTTATTCAAAGAAAGCAATTTGCTTTTCTGTGCATGCACCCAGAACCATTTCAGGTTGATTTGGCCTGTTCTCCTTATTTACCAGGTATGTTTAGGATGTGTTTGGAGAAGATCTGCTTTGTTTGGAACAAGATATATATATATGCAGCTTGATGCAGGCGGGGTGGGGGGAGGAGTCAGGTTGCAGGCTTTGTCAGGAAAGGGATATGTGTATATATCAAGCCAAGTGGTGTCCTGTATCACTGAGTTATCTCTGTGCTGGCCCGCCCCTGAAGTATCCGCACGTTTGAGAAGCTTCAATTACTCCTAGTTCTTTTTTTTTTATTATTATTATTTTTTAATCTTTTCTTTCCTTCCTTTTAAAAGACAGGGTCTCACTATGTAGCCCAGGCTGCTTAGCCTTACACTGTCATCCTCCTGCCTCAGGCTCCTGGTGTTGGCATTACAGGTCGCACCAGCATGCCTGGAACGAATGCTGATCTTTCTTATTGTTTAGTTTCCCAAGAATGACAAGCACTGAAGTTCAGTTCTTAACCATAAGAAGTTGCCAGCTATGGAAATATCAGGCAGAAAAGGTTGTCATTTAGGAAGTGCAGGTTTATCTACCTGTGAGCTACTTCAGGAAGGTTAATGTAGATAGGACAGGGGCTCTTCCCCAGATTTGGCAACACAGAATCATTAGTGACTTTTGCAAGATCATGTGTGTCAGAATTGTATAGACAGCCATCCAAAAATAATGGACCAAGGAGAGAAAAAAAGATTGGAGATGGCAAAAGGAAAAAGTCACTAGGCAGGGATAGTGGATCCTGGGAAGAACATTTTGTTTTTAGATAGAAAATGTAGCATTATGATGGCGGAGGAAGGACCTCAAAGAGAGCAGGAAGGAGTTTTGGAAGGGACAAGAGGTTAAGTTTGAAAATAACTGTGGTGTGGGTTTCAGAGCCCTGAAGGTTTAGAGCATGGATTTTGAATGTACCATCATCCTTACCGACCTTTTCCCCAGATGCTAGGCTGTAGGCATGGTATAATTTGAAAGCAGAGTTCAGCTAGAGGCAGAGCTTTGCCAGATGAGCTCACTGGGGGAAAGGCAGCAGGACCAGTATGAGTGCAAAGGCCATGGATAGTCTAAAGTAGGTCAGCAGGCACGCTGAAACCTGAGGGGGGGGGGATGCCGAGGATTTTATAGGTGGTGCAGTCGGTGGGTCAGAGATGAAAAGACAGAAGAGTTGGAGAGTTGTGACACTAATTTGTGAGCTGGCTTCGGGTTCTCGAGGGTGAAGTCCACGAGTTCGGCAGTTCTGATAATGACAGGATACTAGCCACGACAGGGGGTGAGTGAAGAGAAGAGGCAGATCTTGGAGGACTCGAGGGAGCTGGCAGGATGGCTCAGTTGGCACCTGCTATGCAATTATGAGGACCCAGCACCCACAGAAAAGACAGGTGTGGCGGTATACACCCATAGCCCCAGAGACAGGAGGAGTCGCTGGAACTCCCTGGGTAGCCACTCTGGTCAGCTGGTGCACTCTGGTCTCTAAGCTCAGGAAGAGACCCTGGCTCAGGAAATAAGGTGGAGACCTATAGGATTGGCCTTTGGCCTGCACACATATGACACACAAACACACATACTGTACACACAAAGCACAATTATTAAAAATAATTTTTAAAATCCCAGAGAGGGACAACATGAGACACGGCTCAAGAGGCATTAACACACAATTTGAGCAAACTTGAGAGAATCAGGCCACACTGAAGCGTGTACTGCTCAGGTATTTTACTGACAGTCCACACACCCTCAAATCTGACTTATTGTCAGACTGAAGACTGGTTTCAGGATTAAGCCGAAACTTCTAAAGGGAAAGGTGTCATATTTCTGCTAAAAAGAAAGAGGAGCCCTTGACTATGACACAGTCGCGGGTTTTAAGATCATAAGAGTTTAACCTAAATGTGATTTTTCAGGCTCCTCAGAAAACTTGACAGATGGCTAAGAGCTGTAGAATGAACAAGAGCAGTGCAGAACTGACAAACATGTTAAAAAAAATCATAGTGAAAGATGGAATCCTTCTCAGGGGCTTTCAGAGAGAACAAAGGACTAACATCACTAAGCGTGCTTTAAAATATCAGATTTTTCTTTAAAAATTAACTTCTAACTGAAAAAAAATAATGTGGGTTCCAATTCTTTTGGAATTTCTTTTTTCAGAAATTGTTTTACTTCCAATGCCATGTTTTTTTTATTTTATATCCATTTTGGGCAGGTCTGAGATTTATTCCTGACTTACTGTATTATGATTTAAAATCTGTAAAGATTCTTTTACAGAACCATAACCTATTAATTCATTGATTCTCTGCTGAACTTCACTCACAAGAGGCTACTCCTTTGTGTGGATATTTTGATCAGGCTGCTGGGCTCATTTTGTTTTGGCATCGGTGCTGAAACCACTGATAAAGGGCCCCGTTGGTGCCATCTGGGAGCTTGCTTTGTGATGTCACAGCTGACACTAGAAATTAGATTGAGAAAACCAATTAATTTCTCACAATGTATTTCAGATACTGCAAAAG